AAGAACAGTTATCTTTTGGTAGAATACCAAAGTATGTTTTCTTAAAAGCATGCTGCAACTGTCCGCTCATGACTCAGTGATATTAGGAAAACCGTAATGAACTAATGAAAGTAATTAAGTAAATGGGGTTTGAAATCAGCTTAAGACAGTTAACTTTTGGAGCCCAGAATGGCCATACCAGGTCTGATCAAACAGCTGTCTAGCTTGATATTTTTTCCTTCAACAAGAAAATAAGAACAGTGGTCATCAGTGGTTGCTTACATGGTTATTGTCATATTTGCTGAGAGCAGTGTGAACAATTAGTAACCTCCCCAGATTGCCCTGCTAGCAATCAGAAATCAGGGCACAGGGACTACCTTGGCCAGAGGTGGTGCCTGTGCTTTAAGAGTCTTATGGTGACTTTCTTGTGAGTTGGATAACTAGTAATGAGGATGAATTTGCGGTCATTGTAACTGGATTGCGTGCGTGTTACTAACAGAAATGTCAAATTTGTATTTCTGCTCTCAGAGAATGTCACTTCTGTGCCATATGACAAAATTTAACAGATGCTGGTAAGATAACGGCTATAGGGGTTACTTTTGCGCTCAGTTTTGATGGTGGCGGTTTTGTTTTGTTTTGTTTTCCAATTTAGTTGTCCTTGCCCTGTCTTCACTTTGGCTTCAGAGAGAACTGTGTATCTCAATGGGTTTGTTAAGTTGGCAAAGAAGAACAGACAACCTATGGTGGTATGTATGTTTGCATCCTGATTTATCCACTTCACTTCTGGCAATCTATGAATGAGATCTACTGCCATGTACCTGCGAACCTTCCGTACAAACAGATAAGGGGTTTTCTTGGTTTTGTTTTTTTTAGCACTGTTTGAATAATGCATCGTTTTAATGATTAACCTGAGCAAGTTGAAAGAATTTTTAAGAAGCTAAAGCTATGAAAAGAAATTATGTCATTTTAGTGACTTTTTATCTTTTATTGCATTTTATTGCAACATATTGGACCTTTGATAATTTTCAGAATTTCAAAACTTTCTTTTTAATCTCGTTGTAGTGCAATATTGCGAGTATGGGGGAGCAGGTTTTATATTAATTATTTTAAATATCTTTCTGACAGCCTTTTGTTACAGTAGGCTTAGTAGTAGCTCCAGTGTTACTTAATTTGCAGAGTAATACCTTTTGTGATAGCAGATGTGGAAATACTTCAAATCACCAAGTGATTTCATAAGAATAAAAACTTTCTTGGATTTGACTTTAAAGGATAATTGCTCCCTGTGACTTTCCTCAAGGCAGCAAAATAAATGTGTTTGGAGGGAAGTATTTTTTCATAGGAGATGTGAGTCTTGGAGAAACGTATGCACGTAGGAAAAACCTGCATTTTTAATGTTTGTGTTATATTTGAAACATTTTGTGGTCCTTTTTAGAATGAAAGTATCTAACCTTGCAAGCTTTTTCTGTGTACTGAGTATTGAAAGGCAGAAGTATGTTAGTGCTTTTGGTTTCAGATATTAAAGGACTTTTGTCTCTTTTTGGTTTATTGAATGTTAAAACTTGGAGTAAAACTGAGCTTGGACAGGATACAAGATCACATATGGGATTTTTCTTTCCCTTTTCAGAGCATTTTTGAGCCCCCGCACACTAGAAAGCCTAGTCAGAAAGGCGGAGAAGGAGGAGACAAGAATATTTTTGTGGTCTTGATGTAAATGCCACATTTTAAAGAAATTACATCATGAAAATTGCTTTCCACTTCAGTATCTCCAAGGACTAACAGGAGCAACTCCAGACCTAGAAATACTTTGCAGTCTGCTCAAAATAGAAGTTAACTTTATCGGGAAACAAGATAAAGGAAATTGCTTCTTGACTAGTTTAACTGAGGAGATTCTGACATTGTTTGAAATGCAGTTACTGATTTGTTTCATGCCTGCCCATGAGATCATGGGGAGAGTTGTTGTTGTTTGTCATGTAAGGCCTTGTAGAGATGACAGGTGAGGTGAAGACCTCATCTTTCTCAAGAAAGTAAAATAAGAGGTTATTTTTATTCTCAGCTGCTTGTTTTTCCAGCATTTTCCTGTTTGTGTGATCAGAGTGTTGTGAGAAAGGGTGAGGACGCAAAGGGAGATGTGGCAGTATCCCTAGTTGCATATTTGAGCAACTGCAGATTTTACTAAAAGAGTAGATGTGGAGTCATCTGTGGCAGCGGTTGCCAAGGGGTTCATCTGTGTGTGCTGTGGGGAATGGGGAAGCAACCATGCTGTCTGTTTTCTTGATGTCAGGTGAGTCAGAGCTTGAGCTGACCTGGTAATTCTGTAAGCAGTTCTTGCTTTTTCTGTGCGCACATGCTTACGCACGTGCAGAGACACACACGAATAGTTCTGCTATGTATGTGCATGCTGTATCTCAAACAATTTTACTAGCTGTCTGCTAGCAGCATGCTTAAAGTGCATGTAAACTTTCTGCAATGTTGCCAGTTCTTCAAACAGTAGCCAGTGAAACAGGGCTATATGGTGTCTGTATTTTAAACATGTCCCTAGCAGCTGATTTGGGTTTAATAATTAGAAATAGTGAGGTAGTTTAGTTTTCACCCCATGGGCATAATACTGATTATTTAATTTGGGAGGAAAAGGTCTTTCTTTTGATGAGACATTTGTTTGGATTCAGCAGTCTCTTCTGTGCAATCCTGCAGGTCTGAACTGCGTTAGGTTTTTGATGCCCACCTCAAAAAGGTTTCACCTCAGGTTCCATGTGGATTCTCAGACCCGAATGTTGCAAAGCATTGCTCACCTGACAAAGTGAGAGGCAGATCCTGTCCTAAGACCTTCTCTATAAAGAATGTTAGCAATGGATCATGTTGAACACTGTAAGGCTTGTAAACATCCACGGCTGTCCCCTTGTTCACTTAATCAGCCATTTCGTTGTAGTCCTAAGAGTTTGTTAATGTATTCCTGTAAGATTGGTTACGACGTAAGGGTAGTCTGAGATTTGAGATTATGTGGGCTCTGATTCATGAATCAATGTACATAAACTTTAAATATATCATTATGATGTATTGGCTGACAAAATTTTCAGTGATAAAGGTAAAAGCATAACATGTTACGTTGAACGTTTAACTGAAGGACTTTGGCAGGTACTGTCTCATTATGCTAATTGTTGTTGGGCCACTAATGAAAGGGCAGCTTTAACCTGTTAAGCTAGCAGGTTGTATGGACACCCAAAATGCACGTGTATCTCTGTGAATCCTGGTTTTGCTGTGTTTGAGAGTACAATTTGAAGTTTGTTTCTGACTTTCACTTCATTTCAGATAAATACAGAGAATGCTTGTCTCCAAACACAATCTTCTATAGGAACAATAAATTAATACTTAAGTTTTGCAGCAATAATCAAAGGTCCAGTGTGAAGGAGGTACCAGGCATATCCATTGGTGACAATTTTTTAAGTGACATGAAAAAGCTTTCTGAGCAATTTTCTGAATTAGCCAATCTTATGGTCAAATTTGTCTTTGCTGTGTAGATTTGAAAATAAAATCTTAGGATTCTCTTCACTTCCCCTTACATAAAGTTTTGACCAAAAGGAATGTTTTTGTGCCTGGAGGTATCTGTTGTTGTCACTGGGTAAGTGATTTTATTTAAAAATGTGTGTGTAATTCTTTTACGAGTACCCTTGCTATCTGAATTAAGTCTATAGTCATGTCAGTTGTTCTAATTTTAGTTGTACCTATTTATATACAGATTTTTTTTCTGAGTGAGATGCAACTTAATTAGATTTGTATAGTTATATATCCCTCTGTGTCCATATGGTGCATATTCTCTAGTGGATAATAATTGACATATATCTGAAAAGATGAAATTTGATTTCCTGATATAAAGGGAGATATAAATATTTACATATATTTAATACTTATCTTTTTGATACTCAGGAATATGCTGTTTCAATTATTTGTGCTTTATTTCAAGACTGGTTCTTTTAGATGCAAGTATTATTTTTCTGATCGATGGTTTTGTTAATTCAGAACTGCAATATGGGTGTGGGTTTTGTGTTGGGATTTTGGGGGCAGTTTTTGTTCGGGTTTTTTTGTTTTTATTGAACATTTTGTATTTCTGCATTTTCATTAAACACTTTAATTCTGGAACAGATTATTTGATCCAAGTGGGTAGAGGCAGCTTCTCTGTGGTACCGCATACTCAGATTTTTTGCAGTCCGGTCACTTGGTTTCTGGAGGAAGCTTAAGGTATACTACATATGTGAAGACCTAAGCCAATTTGGAACTGCATTTGTCTGCTTAATCCAGTTTGAGAAAAGTCTCACTTCAGACAGTGTTGCCGGATTAGCCGAGATCATTGAGATTCATACTTCCAACCCAGAAGGGTGATGTTGGCCAGTTCTCTTCTCTGGAAAACGTCTGTTGTTGGGGCCTGACAAAATGCTTTCAGGCGCACCTGTCTGTACAGATACTATGGAGGCCTCAGCAGCTGCAAATAGGATTTGCGCATTAGAAAGATACAGTGGGACTCAAATTACCACTTAGGAGACTGATTCAAGTGATGAGCAGGGAAAAATAAGGAAGCACCATTTTTTTCAGTCAGTTAATAGCTTGGATTTCTTACTTTAAAATACGTTATGGTAACCTGCAGTTTCTGGGTGAATACTGCCTAGCATGGACTTCATATAGAACCTAATTCAACATAAATGACAAATAATATACTTTTTTCTCCCCTTACATTTCTTGAGTTGATTGGAAGTGTGGATAAGGATTTGGCATGGCTTTAGCAATCTTCAGTTATACTCCTTCACAGTCGGTACTTGAAAGAGAAAAGAGAATCTAGCTCCTAAGATCATCTTGTTTCTGAAGTTCTTTTCTCTGAGAAAGAACAATGAAATCTCTTGTATTGTTGGGTTTGATTTTTTATTTTATTTTATTTATTTACACAAGTACATTTGCTTTGCAGGAATTCTGTTTTCATCATGTTGTCTCACCAGTGCTGGATGAGCTGAAACTTCCTGCATCTTGGGGAGAGCATGTATAAAAGGAATGACCTCATGGCCAATGTGATGGTCACCTCTGCCACTCCAGAGGTACAGTTCCTTGGTTTTTGTTAGCTCCTGTATCAAAATGGAAATCTTGGCTTCTTTCAACTTTCACAGAAACCCTTTCCACTACCAGTCATGTCAGTCCTTCTTATGAATGGTGTGGTATTGGACAACAGAGCAATTTTAGAACGCTCCATGACTCTGAGTGTTCACAACCCTATTTTTTAATTGTTGTTGTTGCTGATGATTACTCATGTAAATTAGTTTTAAATAGCATTTTTGATCTGTAACTTCGTAACTTACAGCAGCCATTTATTATTAATGAGTTAAGAGCAATGTAATATAATGTAATATAAATGGAGCCAGTCAGAAATACTCCAGTTGAATTTTTTTTAATTTACTAGTCTACTAGTAAAGAAAGTGCACTGTAAGATTTTGTTCATTTTTAACCCTTTGTATCCTTTGGAGACCAGGCAGCTCTGTCGTGCTGTTTCTAAATACTGCCTAGTTGCGTGTTTTGCTGCTGTGCACAGTTAACAGCCTGTGTTTGTAGGTCCAGGACAGCCACCTGAGGACTGCTTGGGAATTAGTTACCCTACTGAGTTTTTCTGTGGTTGGTTTGTTTGTTTGTTTTCTTACTTTCATGTAATATTATGATGAAATATTGTAAGTCAGCTACAGTAAAGCTTGCCCAGTAAAGCACACATTTTAGATGTATGATGGGAGGTACTTTCTGCTTTTTAAAAAGGTAACATTTTGATGAAATTCTTCCGTGGTTGGAAAGTTCTACTGTTTCATCTCTCAAGACAGCTGAAGAGCTGTATGAAGCAAGTTTTTCTATTGTAGTGGTGCCTTTTGCACACACAACTTGATCCTGTCCAAGCAGTTGTCCTGATTTTCATGAAACAAATCAGCTGTGAACTGATGTTTAAAAATCTTATAACAAAACAAAAATATGTAATACAGTTGTGCCCTGCAGAAGATCATTTTCTCAAACATAGTATGAATGCCCTCAGACTAATAAAAATAGTTTTTCATTCTCTCAAGATGGGGGACACTTTGAATTGGTTTTGCAAACACACAATTTTGAAACTTCTCTTCAAAATAATTAAAAAAAAAGAAAAAAAGTTTGCACACCATTTTCTCAGAACAGAAATATCTGTCATAGATCAGAGCATAAGAAGTCTCCAAGATGAAACCAAAGATTCTTCTAATTCATTATTCTGCCTCTGATAGTGTCCAGTGCCTGAAAGAAGGGCACATCAGTGCAAGCACAGGAAACATCCCACTGGCACCACAGATGTTTGCAACCCAGGGACTTCCTGAGGGGAAGGTCCTGTTTGCTATCTCTCAACGTATTTGTCTTCCATAAATTTACCTAGTAGTCTCTCTGAATCTTTTAGTTTATACAGAATCCCATAACAAGCTGTTTTTCAGCTTAACTGTATGCTGTCTGAAGACCTGTATCCTCTTACGCATTTAAAATGCATCTCTAATTTTAACTGGTCAACCCTTCTCCTGGTGTTAGATGAAGCAGAGGCCACTCCTGCTTTTCTCTCACTTTGTTGGTTATTGTACTTCCCTCCCACAACCCACTGCCGTTTTTCCAGGTTGAAGATTTCTAGCATAGCCAGTCTGTCTTTGTAAAGAAGCCATTCCATACCTGTGATCATCCTTGTTGCCTTGTTCTGAAGCTTTTCCAGTTCTTTGATATCCCCGTTAAGATGGAGACTAATTGTGCATATGTTTGGGTGCACTATGGATTTATAAAGGAGCATATTTATACTCTTACATATTTTCTCTTTTCCTTTTCCAGACATACCAAATGTTGTGAAGTCCCTTTTCAGTGCTAATTCACATATTCTCAGTGCTTGTAACTACTGTCTTGTAACTAATTATTGATTGTTGCAAGGGTAATCTCTATGCTAGTGCTGCATAGTTTCCTTAATGTCTTTGGAGGGAGGCACCACGTCAAAAATCTTTTGGAAGTCCATCAAGACTGTCTTAATCATGTTCCTTTACCCAGATGTCTGTAGGTACTGCAGCCGTGCCTCTTTCTCCGTACTAACTTGGCAATTTCCTGATACAGCATACCTATCTGTGTTTCTATTAATTCCCCTTTATTCTCTTCCTGGGTTTGCCCAGTACAAATGTCAGACTTCCTAATCAGTAGTTCCCTGGATACTTTGTAGGGGGGGAAAAAAAAATCAGCATCTCACCACCTTCTAGTTCTTTGCTACCAAGTCAGTTTTAAGTGAGAATTGCATGTCGCAGTTTGTTAAGAAGCCAGAACATCTTGATTCAACAACAGTGTTCTTATAGCAAACGAATAACCTCAGTGAGGTAAGGGCTTAAAATTTTACATGCATATATATTGTTATTCAGTATGTAGTATGTAAGATAAGAAATAGAAAAATAATGCTGCTGTTATTGAGAAATCACATTATTCCTGAAGAAAGGAAAAAGAGCCACAAGTGCCTGCATCTGAGCCCAAGGATGAAACTTCAAAAGGAAGGCAAGGCACCAATTTTTAAGGCAAGACACAGGACTATTCTAAAGTACCCTGGAGCTAACAGTGGGTTAAATTTCAGTATGTGTCAGTTTTTCCTTTTTTAGAACATTACGGATAGAGCAGCATGATTCGGATCTACCCACTCTTTACCTTGCATATTTAATTTAAAATTTTCCATTGAATATGAATCTTCAAAATCCCAACATGTTTCCTTTTGTCTGACAGCTCTTTTATCTAGTCTATAATTTTAAAAATGGCTTTCTAAAGCTGGAAATTTTATAGACCTAAAATTGTATATCATAAAAATTGTATATGTATAGTTTTTGCAGAAGAAAGTTAGTTGGAAACATTTGTGAACCATGCTAAACTAAATTTTATAATTCACTGTCTGAAGCTTTTTGAAGTTCATACATTTTCTTGCAATTTCTTTATATTTTTACACATTTATTTTCTGAATTTGACATGAAATTCATCATTCTGCAGATAAGCCTACTATTTTTTCTTTGTAGGGTAGTAGCAGCTCAGATTCTCTGGAAGGGCGAAGTTCAGATTATGCCAATAAAAGCTACGATGCAGTTGTATTTGATGTGTTGAAAGTAACTCCTGAGGAGTTTGCTGTAAGTAGAAATGTTATTTTTGCATTTAAGCTTGTATAATATTCAGGGCTTGCAGGTTATTATAAAATACAGAAAACTTTTTTCTTAAAATCTTTTAAATGAACTTCTAGTGTTCTTAAAAACAAATTTCTGATTATATAAACTTTAACAAAATTAATGTCTTGGGATTTAATCATTCAGTATTGACCTGACACAGCATATTTGTTTTTCTGTGTAAAGCTATTTGAATTTTTTCTAGTGTTTTTGAAGATCCTAGTGTAGGTTTAAAGATATGTTCAGTTATCCACAATCGGATTCATTTTTTCTAATTGAAACCACAAATATTCATCTTTTCTGCTGAAACATCAGTTTCTCAGAAAAAGCAGTTTCTTAAAAGCAGGGAAGAAGCTTGTAGAGAGGAAACAATTTGCGTTCCTTAATAACAAATTTTCAGTACTAAACTGAAAGCAGAACTGCAGCAAAAGTCCAATACAGTTCTTGTGTCTGGCCCCTTATTTTCTATGTTAACTTGCTGTTGAACCTAATTCAATGGTTTCGTTAATATTCTGGGCACCAAAGTGATGTTTCCCTCATTCGTTGTAAGATTGTTTAATACTCAGTCGCAAAAAAACTCCTGGAGATATGCCTACATTGTTCCTAAAAGTTTGTCACTTTGGAACTAATTCTGATGAGCTTTTTAACACTCATACAAAATACACAGATGAGAGCTGTTGTTAGGTGAAAATATACAAATACTTGGTTGGCAAATTTGTGTCAACAAAAAAAAAAAAACCCCAGAAAAATGGCCTGGTGCTTTTGCTCCTATTTGTCAAGCTCAGATTATCCATGGCCAAGGACTACCTTCAGAAATGAACAGAGCCACAATTTAGACAGGCCTGTAAAATCACACAAAAGTAGAGATGTCTAATTTCATCAGAGGAGACTGAATATTAAGTCCAAAGACAGCCCAGAACATAGTGTGTAGTCTACACCAGCAAAAATTAATTGCTAGTGATCTCAGAACTGTATTTATAAAATTATCAGTCAAGGTAAGCTTGCTTGTAACTTACAACTCATCAGTTTTCTATGATGTTCATACTTCCTACTGCTGTTGGTTTGAGACAGAAGCTTGTTGACAAGGGTCTTGATTTAACGGTACACTTTAAAAACACGCACATTGCACAGGCACATTGCGCACACAAACACACACACCCCCCACCCCTCCTTAGGTCCTTGTAACATATCTTTTAACTCTGAAGTCCAAACTTCTGTAAGTTACTTTTCTCTCTCCAGTTCCACCCGTAGCCATGAACAAAACCAAACCGAACCATCCACCAACCCCTAAAGAAACCAAAGATTGCAATTTGTGTCTGTAGGACTGGCAGTGAGGCTTGAAAAAGCTCGTATGTAAACCCTAGGGGGTAGAGCTGTTTGAGGTATGGTCACACAAACTTGTAACACCAAGGCTTCTTTAGCCAGAGTAGCTATTCTCCTTGTGCCACATTAAAACCTTTAATTAGTTTACCCTGATCCTTGTTTTTTATTAACAGCTCAAGTAATGTTTACTGCTTTTGTTCCATCCAGAGAAGCAGATAATTTCTGTTTTCAGTAAATAGTAACAACCAGTAAATTAAACATACTATTTCTTGTTACTCAAGACTGCAGTAGTCTGTTTCAAATAACTTGAAACAGTTCAGTTGAGGAGAATGACAAGACCCACCAGGTCTGGTTTTACGGTAGTTAGTACACTGGGCATCAGGGCAGAGATCTATGGAATATGGGATTGCGTATTGGATATAAATATTTAGAGAAAGGGAATGGAGCCAATTAAGGTCACTTCCAAATTTAGTGTGTTGCATTCCTTTTTAAAATTTCGAAGCAGCAGTGGAAAAATTCCCTGGTGTAATCACGTATGTAACGAAAAGATCAGCAGCTTGTCACTACTGAATTTTGGTTTAACCTTTTTGGTGATTTCGATTGAACCTGTCTTGTTGAAATGATTACTAATTCTTGCTGAAAACTTCTTTATTGATGTCACTTAATATGGCTTGCAGTCAGCTTTTTGGAGCCTCTTCTGTGCATCTTATTAGGACACGTTCCAGAAGCTGCAAACAGGCATTTGTGACTGCAGATTTTCTAGGAGCAGAGCGAGATCTTAATGACATCTGAGTTTGTAAATACCCTAAGATTACTCAGAAGTATAAGTCACAAAATTGATTGCTGCTAAGAGTGTTTGGCTAGGGCTTTGTGGCAAAATCTTTGACTCAGCATAATATAAAAGCAAGGAATAGTTAGAGAGTGTAAATTAACCATTTACGGAAGGAGGCTTTTTTCATGTCTGTCAAATTTTATGAGCCTTATTGACTTTTCTAGGCTGATGTCTGAGGAATCATACTAATAGTAGAAACCTTATTAAAATTGTATTTAAATAGCTAGTTATTCTTAACTGGTGGAATCAAATGAGCACTTTGACAGGGGATTAGCAAGTTTTTGCTGTTTTGGGTTTAGTGTAACAAAATGGCCAGCAGAGAAGCTTTACTAGGGCAGGATCCAAACAAGTGTTCTTTGACACTTCCTTTTACACATTAAATCATGTAAATAACAAAATTCCAAGCTCTGTAGGTTTACACACAGTATAATTGAAGTACCTATTGATTAAATGTAATTTACATGACTTCTGAATATATAATGTCATTCGATCACTAAAGCAATTCCAGTATTTTATCACTCAGATGCTAAAAACATTCTATAAATGCTTCCCCCCCCGCCCCCCAAAATCACTGGCTTTGAAACAGCGTTACAATGTCTTATCAGGGCATACTTGTCAGTGACTGAAAATCTGTGTATGACCCCTTAAAGCATATTCCAATTGTAACTAATTAATACATCATAATGCTATTGCCCTTCAACCCAGTGAACGTAAAATGTGTGCTGCTTTCTGCGTGAAGGGCAAGTAATTCTTCCTGCTATTTCTGTTACGTCAATAAAGGGCCCAAACAGTAGGGCACTCAAACGCAGATTTTTCCTCTTACGCTGCTGCAGGTACTGAAAACCTTTGCTTAGTTACAGCTGGTAAACATAAGAGAATATGATGACATTTTGTCACTCAGGGTGGTGATGATGGAGTTTCTGCCTGTAGAGTGTCAGCCTGGACAGGGGAGGCCGAATTCAGGGCTGGTCAGTTCTGGTCTAGGGAGAAAATGCAACTGTGTGGTTTGTGATTACTAAAGGGCAGGTGTAAATACATGTTTGCTCTCTGTATTGCATTATTTAAATTTTCTCTTTATTGCAGAGCCAGATTACATTGATGGATACACCAGTATTTAAAGCTATACAGCCTGAGGTAGGTTTTCTTAAACTATCTGCTTACATCTTTGGAATTCAGTGCCCAAGGAAATGTAACTGTTAAATAGTGCTTTTTCATTGAAAAAATGCTCAAGTTCTTGCACTGCACTAATATTCTTCTAAGCTTATTCCTTGTTAGCACTGTGAATATGTAACCCAGTCTGATTTACTTCGATTTTTCATCTATAGCCAAAAGACACGACCATGGTTTTTCTGGAAGTCTTCCTGTCCTGTTTTGTGTTGGGATTTCTTCAGGATAAATTTATCAAATGTCAAAATTCTCTACTCTCCTTTCTGCTCCTATTGTTCAGTTCACATCTGATTTCAGAGTTTGAGTTATGCCTCTAGTCATAACCTGCATCAGCTGCTTGGTAAACCTTTTAATTTTTGTACTGTTGTGTTCAAGATTCAATTCTGAGGGAATAAATCAGCCCAAACTCTTAAAAGTTAATATATTGTGTCCTTTAGTTTTTTAACTTTTTAAGAAAGACACAGAAGGAAACTTGAGGCCTGTTGAGAAAAGGCAATCAAAGTTGACATAGAAATTTGAAAATCAGAAATAATAACTTCAAAAATAAAGAATGAAGGTAGCTATCAGAATGTTACATTTAGATAAAAATGATATGTTATCTCGGTATTTTGATGAAATACATTTATTTTCTGCAAAGGGTACAAGAACTGTGTGTTTCCAGCTTCAAGTTCTTTAATGTAAGAACATGTCCTTAGACCCATTATGGTTTATTGTCATCTTGTGCATAGGGGGAATGTCATGAACATAAAGGGGAAAAAATTCCCTGTAATAGTGGTGGAACTGATTTTTTGACAACATTAGAAAGGGGAGTCCAGTTTAGAAGGTTCTTTGTAGAAGCTCAGTCCATTTAATTTGGTCACTAATAAAACAACTTATTTATTACAGTGGTTCAGAGAGATTAGCAGCCTTCTATTTTGAGAAAGTATAGGAAGGAAAATAAAAATTCATCTGTCCTTCCTTTCAGATAAATTAATTTTGTTTCAAGAACACCAAGATGGTTTTGTAGCTGAAAAGACTTTCAGGCTTCTGAAATTACATGTGTTCTCCAGGCAGTTGGGGAGTCTTGTCTTTACTGTGGGGAAAAAAATGGCAAATGAACAATGCAATAAGAAACCAGCAATACCCATAGAAAAAAATCCGTTAACACAAAAATACCAGTATTTACAAATGTATATGTACATATTTTTTCATGAGAAAATTTTGTGAAGATAAACGTCAGTTAGAACAAAATGGAGGTTTCACCAAAAGCAGAGGTAGTGTGATACTCTGAGGAGATGAGTGAATACAAAATAAAATACAAAACTGTAGGTGTTCATATTTAAAGTGAATTTTGGATTTGCTTTAATTGCTATGAAGGATCTATGCCATAGAATTTTATAGCAAAATAAAATACTGATGCTGTTCTTTTCCTTTGTCATTGCTTCATTTCACCTTTTGGAAATGAAATTTCCTGAAGTGCTACTCTGATTGGCAGATAGATGTAACTTAGTGAGAAATGATCAGAAAAAAATGAATGTATTTTCAGCTTCTGCTAGAATACAGGTCTGTGTATAAGTAGTGGTTGCCATAAACTATTAGTTTTTAATTGTATTTTCTGACCTTCATCTTATTGGAGTTGCCAATATACTTTAATAGTTTGTTTGCCAAAAATAAACAACTGTTTCTATGCTGAAATTCTGCAAGCTGTAGGACTAGGTTTTAAAGCAAGATATAATCTGTGTATTTGTCGTCTACCTGCCTCTTGTTATTAGGTTTAGACTAAGAACGTTAAAATTTTCTGGTCAGATCAAACATTAACGTATAACCTGTAACTGTCTGCGTTTGTTTGAGGCCTGGTAGCCTTTTAAAGGAAGTTTGTGTATTCGTTCTTCTGTGTCCGTAAGCTTGGATACCCTTTGATAAACAGCTCCTCTGAGGCTTGTGGGGTTTCATGTAGGTGACTGGCTCTTACACTGTTGATGGGCAGATGGTTGTCTGCCATTTTACACCAGAACTCTGCCTCATCAGAGTCTTCCTTTGGTGTCCTTGTATTGCATGGAAAAGGAAAGGCCAGTATTCTGGTTGAATTCTGTGTTTCCTGATGTACTCGTTTTATTACGTTATGAGGAAGGCAGAGTTATGGTCCCTGCTTTTCCTTTCATACTTGCGTGTGCAAGGTGGTCACAGTTGCTGTGCAGAATCAGCCTTTGTACGCAGGAAGTGGTAAATACACTGGTGTGTGAAAAGGAGTGGATGCTTCTGGTTTCCTCTTTTAGAAGGGAGGCATGAAAAAAGTGTGGAGAGGTTGAAATGGTTTGCTAGATGTCGTGTAGCTAAGTTCCAGGGCAGAACTGTGCACAGGGAAGGTTTCCTTAGTCGGCAGCCATGGGGCTGGCTGCCTCAGTGAGTTATCTGTTGTTGAATTTTGTGTTTGGGGGAAGAGCATTATATTGGTTTTTCTTCAGGATTTAGTCTTTAACATGACCTTATACATGGATGGAAAGACTTAAGATTTTAGAGTTCTGATTGCCAAGTCTTATCTCAAACACACAAACATCCTTTAAACCTAGCACTTGCTGTGGCTTTTTTCTGCTTTTCCATTGAGCTATTACTAAAAAACACATCCGCATGTTACTTTGCAAGAGTTCAGTAAGAGGATGTCTGATTAAGAATTCCTTGTTCTCCAGTGGGAATAACTATGCTTACATTCTAGATTTCTATGTAACTTTTTAGTTGTTTTGTTTGGGGGGGGTGGTGGTGTTTGGTTTTTTTGTTTTTCTCCCAAAGTCCTGGAAATTGCAATCTTCACAGAGTTTGGGACTTCCTTGCACACTTGATTGGAAAGTTTCTTGCAACTGTGTGCCTTGAGGAAATTGCCTGCATCCTTGCATACAAAAGGATAAAGTGTAATACTGGAACACAGTATGTTTTAGCAGTATTAAAAAAAAAAAAATTAGCAGGGCCATGTTGGATCACTTATTCTTATCAACCTTCATATTCAGTCCAAATTTTAAACCTAGTCAAATGATTTTTCCATACACAGGATTTTCCATTGTTGCTCGCTTAGCCCTCTGGCAACTGCTTAATATCCTTAGGTTACTGACCTCTTTCACTTTTCTGACAAGTGTAAATTTTGCTGTCCCTAGTAGAGTGACTGAGATTTTTCCACGTAAACATATAATTTCCAGACTCTTAAGACCAACCATGCACCGATCACGTGGAGAATCTGTGTCTTGACAGATGCGAAATGGCATTTTTATCTGCAGGCAGCTTAAATGCTGGAAGACTGAGATACAAAGTATATTTGGAACTGGAAATGCTTTTCCTGGTGCTCACACAGGAACATGCAGACCTCCACATCTTGAGAGTGTGTTCTATTTATCAGAATGTACAAAGTCCTTTTCAGAGGCAGAATTCTCTTTGGCTGACTCTGCCTTTTCATGTGAAGGCATCTAAAGTTAATAGCGTGCATTTGGAAAGTTGAACAACATTTTGATTGAAACTGAAATTTGTGGTTCTAAAAACAGAAGAGTGATTTAGAACTGGTGTTATGGAGGACTCATTGCCAGTATGTATGTATCTGCCACTTGTCAGATCTGAATATAAAGACTGTATAGATATGTGGTAACTTGAATCTGTAGTAAAAAGAGCCAGGCTGTCTAAATATACTTGGAACTGCCTGAAATAGCTATTGCAAAATGGACACTTTCTTTCCGGCTAAATCAAATTTCTAGTTATAATTTCAAATTTCTTTTGATGCACAATTTCATACAGTTTATTTAAGGAGAAAATCATTAATCTGCTTTTTAGCTCTTCTGTTTGCTTTATACTTCCCACAGGAATTTATACTATTTATTTTGCAGTTTAGTTGAAAGATTATTTTTTGCCATAGAGCACTGGGATTTTATTATGCATTGAAATTGATTAGTTGGGGTACTACAGAATTTGTGATTTTTCTTACTATTTTGAACTGGGTTGACTTTGAAGCAGTCACCATAATGAAAGAGCATTCAAAAATTTGTTTCATATACTGTGACTGAACTATCCAGCCTACTGGCAACTTTTTGCTTTATTAGCACCAAAATGTTAATCTATATTTTTAGGTACATGCCACACTTCAGTCAAGTCTGGCTAAACTCTTATGGCTTAAAAAACAGCCAAAAAAAAATCAAAACCCAAAATAAAACAAAGAGTTCTAACCCCACCCTTCTGACCAGAAGACCTTCAGACTGAAGGCTGTTACTGTCCAGTCTTTTTTCAAATGATAGATTCTCTTGGTCTGAGTATCATGTACAGAGATTTCGGTGTTTTAAAAACTGGTTTGTTACTACTGTAAACAATAATAGTGCAATTCCAAAATTGTGTTCTTCAAATGCTTCAGATCTCACGCTTTGATAAAATTAGAGATTGAATATGCTAAACTGTGGTGTATTCATGGAAGTTTTACTAACTGTAATAATGAGAATGACATTCAGGAGTAATAACTAGGTTACCAGCTCTAGTTGCACAGCTGGATTTTGTACTCTTTAACTACTTCTAATATTGCTTATTGACATGTTTAGGTTCAGTTTTGAACCAGATAAAAGTGTTTACCAGCAAAGTCTTTACTCTTGTGTCTGCTGATTTGCTCATAGGAGGGAACCCTGGACTGAAATAATCAAGAAGGAAACTTCAGAGACATGAGTTGTGGCTGATTGCTTAGTCTTTCTGTATGTGCATATTAATAATGATGCCTTTTTTTTTTTCTAGTATCAGGAGAATATACGAATCACATCATTTAAGTACATTAGGAACGCACACAAGTGTTTGGTTAGATTAGTTGTCATTGAATCAGTGCCTTGGGTTGGTTTTAGCAGTTATCTGATAGATGCTGCTGTCACGTATCAGATTTTACACTCTTAAATGTTTTTAAACATTACTCATTTTTAAGGCAATTTTTAAATGTGTTTCCTAGGAACTAGCCAGCTGTGGATGGAATAAGAAAGAAAAACATATCCTCGCTCCAAATATTGTTGCCTTTACTAGGAGGTTTAACCAGGTAAATGATTTGATTACTGTGACAAACAGGTACTGTTTGACATTTGTCTTCGAATATAAAGTTAAATAGAACTACTCCTATGAATTAAAACTTAAGAATATTTTTCTAAATGATGATTAATATTTTAAAATGGCAGTTCCTATTTTCAATTGCTTTGTCCCCATTTTCATGTTGTTCCTCTAGACCATTGGTTCCTAATTATTAGTTCCTCATAATTTTTGCTGATGTATGATTGTACAACATGAGCAATTCTTTTTCTTGTTTTTCTGGGTTTCACTAGCTCATTCAGTTATCTTAGTGTTGTCTCACTTCTCTACCTACTTATATCCAGTGGTGTAATGCTTTTGGGTAATTACAGCTATACAGAGGAGAATTCGTGGGATCAGAACTCTCTTCTTTCCTTACCCTGTTTTCTCCGTGGAGCATCATGAAAGTTTACAAACGTTTCATCTAATAAAGTCCTTTTTTGCTATATAAATTGAGTTATATGTGTTTTACTTTATAGGTCAGTTTTTGGGTTGTACGAGAAATATTAACAGCACAGACCTTAAAAATAAGGGCAGAAATATTGAGCCATTTTGTGAAAATAGCTAAAGTAAGTGCAAATTTCTTGTACTATCATTCAAAATCTTATTTCCTTTTCATTTGTTTCTGCACTACTCCTATGAACTGTTGTTGGATTACAGAGGGTAACGTTCTTTTTTTAGCATATCAGCTATATTGTACCACATGGATAAGGTAAAAGTATGACATCTATTGTTTTTACTTGGTTAAATGAAACTACCCAGTTCAGCGTGACTCGTCTTGTACCTTTGACTAACAAGTTTAGAAGTGGTTTGTCTTGTTGATGGCCGTCTATGTGTTGCCATCACTGAACATGGTTGTAAATTGTTCTGGGTTTTGTCTCCCTCCGTTCAAACTTAACTTTTATGAAAATAAATCCCTTGCTTCTAAAACGGCTGTTGTGAGATTTGTATTCCTACTTGTAACATGTAGTTGCTGGTATAAAGTACCACTCTTAAAGCTCAGTTATTGTAATGAGTTTGAGGACTGCATTTTACAAGTTATTCTTAACTTTTTAAAAATATGTATTTATAAAAAAAAAAATCTTTCAGCTTCATGACCTGTGGTCATTTTGTGTGACCCTGTGTGACACTTACTAATATTAGTAAGAATCCAGCACTTGGATCAAAGGCCTGAATGCTGATCTTGTACATGTGAAATTGTGTGTGTGTAGGTAATAAGAATAACATTTAATATTTTCTGTGTAATACATTATCTTCTGCAGAAGCACAAAACTGCTAAGTAAACTGATTAGAAATACAATTAAAAAACTATTTTGTATCTGAATAAGTTCTTGGCACAAATGCGTAGTCCAAGTACTAGGAGAATGGTCAACTTGAAGGTGCTAGGTTGCTCTTAGAAATAAGAGGTGGTTTGGTTTTTTCCCCTGCAAAAAGAAAAACACTGCCCTCTCTTTCTCTTTTTCTCTTTTCTTTTTTTCTTTCCTCCTTTTCCCTCAATAAAATCCAGATCTTCCTCAGCTGCTCCTGAGCAATAAGTAAATCGATCACTGAAGGATGAAACCAGCCTATTTTTAAGATTTATGAAGAAGCTACATGACAGCAGTTCTCAGTTTTTTTTCTGTTTTTCTGGAACTATGTTGTAGGAACTTTGTCATCTAAGACAGCTTTGTTCCAAAGTGTGTTAATCAATGTGTTTTGAGTAATTGTCAAGACAGAGTGAATTTAAAGTACGTTGAAGTGAGGAAAATTTGTCCTGTAAAACACATTACAAAATAAAAAGTTGTATTAATTCTGAAAAGGTCATCAGCATCTTTAGTTGATGTTTTTGGAGAGATTAAATTTTTAATTTCCAAAATTATATTGATTTTCAACAACAGTGCATCAAATAATGTTTTCATATTTTTTGTTCCTGAAGGAACGGCCTTAGAAAAATAACAAATTCAAATTAAATACAGTTTGTCTTCTCACAGCTGAAATGCCTTTTGTTTTGAGGGTTGTATTTGGAAAGTTTGCAACTTTTAAAGTGGTCTTAAGAATTTTGCATATTGGCATCATTGGATAATGTTGTTGTCTGCAGTCGTTGATGAAAACTTTGTATTTTATTAATAAAAAAAAAAGTATTTTATTAATGGAACTTTGAGACTAATTATTCCTGCTTCCCTTTTTGATGTGCTAAAAGTTGTTATACCCTTTTTTCAGAAACTTCTAGAACTGAATAACCTTCATTCTCTTATGTCCGTGGTGTCAGCACTGCAAAGTGCGCCTATCTTCAGACTGACCAAAACTTGGGCTGTAAGTTATTCCTTGACCGTTGTCTTTTCTGTCTTGTTTGAATTCTGAGGTTTTCTGAACTCTTCTGAATTGTCAAATTGTGTGCTCTGGAAGAAGATATTATATAAGATATTATATTCTTGGGTTTTTTCCTATAAGAGTTTCTTGGTTTCCTGTCTGTTCTAGAAGCCACTGATTATATGCTCAAGAGGACTTTAGTTTGTAAGTAATCTTAGAAGACCTTTGTATAGAGTGTGTATCACTCTCCCATTATCCAAATCATTGTATGTGTCATTAATGCTTTGCCTAAAAGGAAAGGAAGAAGAAAGACTTATTACAAATATAGAAGCATTATTTTTGTGATTATTGTGCAATGCATTTCAGTTTTCATTTATTTTAGAAATTAAAAGCATTAAAAATTCCATTTTCGAAATTTCTTCTCTTGAGGGCAGAATTCTCCTTTAAATTTGGGGTAAGTTCTGCTATTTCTTTAAAGTCGAATACACAACTATAATCTAGTCTTGCTCTATGTAATCTTTAAATATACAAAGGATTAGGTAATTCTCATTAATTTAGTTTTCTACCCAGTGTGAATCACACTAACTGTTCAGAACTGATAGATAAAGATGGTTATACCTAACTTTTTTACCTAAGCATGGTTTGTCTTTAAAATGCCTGTAACTTTTTTATGGTCTGATTGCTCAGAATTAGGCTATAGTCTAATAAAAATGTAAGTGCCTGCTGTTTTGAGCAGCTTGATGAAGTTGGAACTTAAATAGGGAAGATCACTCACATGTGAAACCAAGTGTGTGAATAATTCATTGCAGGACTTCGACCTAAAGAGGTGTAAGGCTCTTTGTAGGCACAGTAGTTCAAAAATCCACTACAGTGCGGAGTTTGGGCCTTACCGAGTTCTCGGTGCTGTTTAGAAAGAAACAGCAAATTACTCTGAAATCTTTTCGCTCTTACATTACTTTTTGTTAACAGCTGTTACCTAACTATGATGTGGTGCTGCAAAGGGCGTCAGGGCTCCCAACATACAAGGCTGTGTTACTGATGATTCCCGTCAAGCTCATCCTGTTCTCAGCAAGACTGAATGAAGCAGTTCACTCATGCGTATCCGTTGCAGTATTTTTTTGTAACAATGGGCAGACTTGCAGTTCTCTAGAAAGAGAACAGCTAGGCTTATGAGCTCTGTAGTACAAGAGTTGGAATTTTACAGAGGAAGAGGTGTATTAAGAAATGTGCTATGGGACAGCTGTCTGTTGTCAGAAGATACAAACTCATGAAGCCAATGTATGGTCCCATAATTCTCCACTCATTCTGACTCAACTGGCTTTTAAAGTCATCTTAAAAATATTGCTGGTGTTTCTAAAAGCAGCTGAAATAGGGGATGTGTTTTTATAGGTACAGTTGTGTATTTTGTGTTTACTTTTCAATCGTCTGTCACTTTAGTATCTTTTGCATTGCTAAATATTTTTCTCATTTTCTGTCCAGTAATAGAAAACAGAGATTTAAATATCATAGTGATTTACTTTCCTTATACTTTTTCCAAAAAGTATTGTCATAATTTTAATAACGCACCATTGAAATGGCACAATTTGCATTTATTTAGAGCATTTTCCATTGCCATTTCTACTTTCAAATTCAAGAGGATTTTTAGCAATTCTCATAAACTATGAGAATGTTGGTGACTGTACAGTAACATACTTTTCCTTTAAAAATTTAATATTGCTGAGGTTATTCAAAACTCTGATGTAGCGATATGTGGATCCTTGATAAACTATTCAGAAATATTTGTTCATAGCTTAAGACTTAATGCTTAATTGCCTTTTTTCTTATCAGGGAGCACATTTTCAAACATGCTGCTGATTTGGGTGATGATGATGAATTTAATCTTAACTTGACTATGCTTTCCTTTACTGTGGGTGTTTCAACAAATTATTATATGTTGTTTTTTGTGCGGATTTGTCTTTCAAAATTTTATGATCTCCTTTTTTTTTTTTCTGTGTAGCTTTTGAATCGCAAAGACAAGACCACCTTTGAGAAGTTAGACTATTTACTGTCTAAGGAAGATAATTATAAAAGGACACGAGAGTACATCAGAAGCTTAAAAATGGTTCCTACTATTCCATATTTAGGTGAGTGTGAAAGATTGCCTTATTTATCTGTAACTCGTTTTGACTGGCAAGCACCAATGTAGCATGTTGTGCACCTAAAGAACTCTGTATAGGAGGTGTGATTCACTTCATATTTAGAAAAATTAGATCTGGTGGAGATTTTTAAGCTATACATTGTCTAGGATCTCTGACTTGTAGAAGTTTTGTGCATTACTGACATCTGAAACTACAAGTATGTCTTTGTTTACTGTCCTTTTGATGTCTTCACAATTTACAAGAGCATTGTGTTTCAGAAGTGTCTTTGAGTACAGCATGATTTAAGACCTCGTTCCTGTAGCTTTCATGTTTGCTGGACTGTTTTTTCAGATACCTTATAACTTAGACCTCTAAACTGTAGTTGTTGGTTTGTCTCAGTTTCCTGTAAATACTTTGAAGTGACATACAAACTGAATAGTCAGTTCGGTTGATTGACTTGTCTTTTCAGTATTGCCTTGTATTACTCATCTAGACGCATTATATCATTATTTCCCCAGTGGCTCTTTAAACTCACAAATCCTGCCCGTTACTGAACTGTGCTAGCATTCCTGAAGAACACTGCAAAAACCAGATTCCTGTTAAATAAGGCCATTCAGACTTTCAAATGTCTTTCTAGTGGTGGGGTTTTTAAAAGAAAGAGTTAATCTAAGAAGTATTTAACCATGTTTTCTCTAAGCTATATAATAGAAACAATAAGATCATTTATTGTAATTATTTTCTAGTGCCCAGGACAAATACAGTGCTTTGTCCATAGCAGTCCACGCATGCAAAGCATGGTCCTGGTGAAGTAATTATTTTGAACTTTCTGTAAATAGGACTTCCAGAAAAAATATATTTTAAAAAAAAAAATCAAATTAAGTCCAGAATTTCCATCACAGACAGTCAGCACAAGTCACTAATACTTGATGAAGTTATAAGCAGCAGAACACAGCATAAAGAGATGTTTTAGACATTTTAAAGTATTGGTATAACCACAAACTCCACTTCTACTGCAACTTTTTTCTTCATCTAACATAATTCTTCCTTGTGCTTCAGCCACACGAACTCCACGAAATCAAATGTTAAATACACCCTTACCTAAAGAATTACTAGGAATGGCTATTATTCCTATAGGAATTCCAGTTAATGATCTACAATTACAGTCCCACATAGGAGAAGAAAACTTAAGTATTCTAGGAATGATAGGTAACAGTTCTTAGAGAACCATGTTGTATTCCTAGAAGGCTTCTCATCATTATGGTACTACTTACTTAGCATGAGCAAACCCGACATATTCATAGAATTTCAAAAAGATGTAAGAGGAGAACTCTTCACTTTTTGCATAGGCTTTTTAGCACCACAAGCTTATTTGTAGTCTTAAAGTATTCAAGGGACTACAAAAAAAACCCCTTCATGTGAATGTGTAAGCACTCAAACTAATCAGTAGCTTAATCTGATTTGCAGTAGGCTTTTTAGAATCTTCATCCCTTTGCTTTTTTCACTGTTATTCTGTTGATTTAGTGCATATACTTCAGAAGAAATCCATGACACATGGTATTGTGTTTATTTTAAATGGTTTGGAGATAAGTTTTTGTTTGGGTTTTTTTTATTCCCCTGCCCCGCCCCCCCCCCCAAGCAAAGGGGTATGGATCTGTAAAGGTAAGATCCTTTCCACATTGTCATTTCCAGAACTGCTTTCGTTCTTTACCAAGAGACTGTTAGAGAAGAAAACAGATGCGCCAAGCCTTGTTGACAGATGTGTTGTCATGAATACATGAATACCCTGATTTAAAAGCTGAAAAGGCAGTTTATTAGGTTAGGACATAGAGGATATGAACAATTGCTGGGAATATTTTACTTACTGTATGTGTATATATGAAGTGGAAGACTGGCTTAAATTCAGGACTGTAAAGATTTCATGCATTTGTGTGCTATTTGTATACAGCTGTCCTGCCAGTGAGTCTATCAAGCTGTCTTCATCCTTCTTTGAAGGAGTGAACTTTGAATTCAGGCTTGGTTTGATTCTGGTCAAGGTTAAAATAATAAAATGCTGTATCTTTTCTGCTAATCTTCTCTTCAAGGTTGTTTGCATAGGTCCGAAAAGGCTATGTCTACATGACATACCAAAGCTCACCTCCATTTATTTCAAGCATGTTCAAAATTGTCATCTGGACAGACTTTTCATATCATGCAGCCTCTTTGCATTAAGCCTTTCTTCGAGACAGCAGTTTTCTTAGTGCTTACAGTTGATGGTTGCTTTTTTATTGGCTTTGTGTTTATGCTGCTTTTCTGTTCTTTTTTCTTTTTTTTTTTGGCTGAAGAATCGAAGTCTTGGTAGCTTTAATGAGCACTGAAAGCAGAATTTTTTTTCTTCCTTGTGGGGCTTTCTCATTTGATGTGCATAAAATATACCTTATTCTTTATCTGCATCTGTTGTACTGAACAACGCATATGTCTGGAGAGCATCTCTAGCTGGAAGTTTGAGGGGAAACAAGGTCCTGGTTTATCTGATGATCCTTAATGAGTTTATAAAGCAATAGGGTTCGTATGTTCTGCATGGATGAGATAAACGCCTGATAAGAATTGTCCCAGGTACCTCCGTATATCGTACTCCAGCGTCAACTGTAGTGTTTCTTTGAGCATTCTAATAGTCTCTTAGATGTTTCTGTTTATGTTGTGCAATTGAGGTATGTCGACAAGCCCTGTAAGGTTCTCACTCTTGGATCCCTGAGGATTCCAGGACACAGATTAGTTGGTGCTGTGTCCTGAGGGAAGATTTTAGAAGACTGTAAGGGTAGCTAAGGTAGGTCTTAAGCCCCTGAGTTTATTACACAACATAAACATGTAGTGGGAGAATTTTAAACACTTTTTCTGCAGAAAGTTGGAATGATTGCTTAAAATTTGTACTTAGTCTACAAGAAATATATAAGAATTTAAAAATTAAAAGGTATGTTTCATACAGTAAATAAATTGGGTCTGTTTGCTTTCTTTCAGTCTCAGAAACAGTTTTTGGTGATAGTCTTCACACATCTCATACTTACTACTATGTACTAAATTCTACAGAAGAGGGTTTTTGGTTTTTTTTTTTTTTTAAGACTTTGGTATATGGCCACAACAAAACGAGAAGTCTGAACAAGAGACCATGTGTTCACAGGCATATAGGTGTTTAACAGCCTTCAGAAAGTATCTAAGAGTAAGACACACGTGTATTTCTGAGAACCTGCCTAAATTGTGCTTTTACTCATACGTTTTGCCTACTGTCCTGAAGCATTAGATTATCTACTAGGTCAAGAAAGTGTGCAAATCATATTTAAAAGTAAAACTTTCAACAAAGACAAAAAATGAAGTTCTGTCATTGGTATAACTTGCAGATTTTGAAAAAATCTGTCCAATTTGCTTTACCAAACAGACCTTTTAGAAAAATAAAAATCAGGAAAGGGTATCCATGAACAACTCTTGTACACAAGAGAAGATGCGTACATACTTTTGGAAGGAGTATTTCTCTCTGGTGCTAAATAAATGTATGTGTAGTTCAACTTGAAGATGTATTAAAAAAGAGACCTAAAGTTAAAATGCTGTCCAGTGTTGATATTCTCCTTTGCTTTTGTGACGCATACAAAGTAGCCATTTGACGAACTGGATTTTTTGTCAGTATTTCACCTGGGAATATTTCTGCACCCAGGTGGTGGTTACTGAACGCAGCCCCAGGGGCTTTGAGATGCTCTGCACTCTCTGGCCTGTGTTGTCTCCACGGGAAGCACCAGACCTACTCTCCTGTCATGAGGCATTTGTGACTTTAAGGTTTACCAGTGGGAAAACTGAGGTTTTGTTTCTGTTCAATCCTTCACTTTGCTACAAAGATGGTAAACAAAGAACTGTAGAAATAGCAAAATCTTTTCAAATAGGACACCCAGTAGAGCATCCACAGATAATATACGCTTGCTACGCTGCGTTTTTCTTTTATCACCTAAGTTCTGATTCAGATTCAATTTGAATTCAGAAAAAAAACCAAACCCAAAATAAAAACCACCAAAAAACGCCACTAGAATTCAGAAAATATTTTTAAAAAGAACAGCTCAGGAAATTTTTGGTATGTTTTGTGAAGAAACTGCGTTATATGTTCATATAATGAACTATTTTCTGGCTTTATTAGTAAATCAGGATGATGCTAAGCTGAAGCTAAAAAGGGTAAATGTTTTTACATTGCTGAACCTGGATAACTAGAGCTCAAGAATTCTGCATAGACTTCCTGGGCCAGAATTCCTGTCTTTGTATTAGTGACCCTCAGTGGATTTCTCTTCCGTGAACTCATGCACTCTCTCTTTTAAACGTGTGTAAACTCCTTGCATCCACAGCACCCAGCTGGGAAGGATTTCCTCAGCTCTGTCCAGTACCACATTCTTTTGCTTGATTTGAGTGTGGTATTTGCTACCTTCACTAGATCAAACCTACCTTGTTCTTTATGCAACTTCTTGAGGCTACTCCTGACATTATGGACTTCAGTCGTTATCTCTGTTGTCTTCACACTAAATCTTCAGTTACATCCCTTCCAAAAGGCAGAGTCCTTGGATTACTTGATCATGCCTTGTGCAGATGCCACTTGGCATCCTTGATAACCGTCTGTGGCAGCGCTTCAGTTCTGTATCCTTTTTTAGGGGAAGAGAGTGCACGTGAACTGCACACAAAATTCAAGATAAAAGTGCACGTCAGATTTATACAGTGGCTTCAACAAGTTTTTTGTGTCCTGCTTAATAATTCCTAACATTCTGTTAGCTCAAAGTTTAGTAGCAATCAAAAAAGCAAGTTGTTTTCAGGAACTGTTTATTGTAATCCCAGGATCTTGCCTTTATTGGCAATTATTTGTTCTTTTCATTTTATATGGAAAGTCAGGACTTTTCCCCCCCTGTATATATCACTGTCTATAGATTTTTCATCTTCTTACTGTCCGAGCAGTCTGTCTCATAAATCCTTCTGCATTTCCTCTCAGTCAGCCCCTCTCTTTGTTCCCTCAATTAGTTAATATCAGCATATTTTTGCTCCATTGTTCACTCCCATTTTCAGGTCACTTATGAATATGTTGAACAGCAGGAGTCCCAGCACAAATTCCTGTGGATAAGTCAGCTCTGCTTATGTAAAACATTTCTTATTAAATAAGTTTGATGGCCATCCCTAATGGCTATACTTTAAAAAATGTGTTGAAAAATTGGTATGAGTTTTTGAAACTTCTTTGAAAATAATTTCATGTTTGAAGGAATGTTTAGCTTATCAAAAGAGAATATTCAAAGGGGACTTGTTCTGGAATTTTCATATGACCTATACAAATTTCTTCCTCCTTGGGAATGTGTGGCAATTTAGTATTTTTCTCAGCTAAAAATTGTTTTGGTTTTGATGTCAAAATATTTAGACACTTCACACACATTAATAGTAGCTGTGTATCAGAGTTGGTTTGAGTCATGAGGCAGAGTGGTGTGAAATTAAGTAATTATCATCTATTCTTTGCTATGAGTAATCTGAACTAAAACAGGATGAAATCTGGACATGTCAAAATAACATTTGTTGCTTTATTAAAGGATTACAATATTACAGGGGTAATCTAATATATTAATAACCCTACTTTCAGTTATATACAACACATGCTACGTGACACGTCAATTTAATGCACATTATACTGTTGTAAAGAAGTGATGAGGTAATAAGGGAAAAAGTGTGCAAGTACGTGCACACAAACGCACAGTATCTTACAGGCTTACTGAAAAATATATTGAACTTCTAGAGGCTTTTGCTCTCCCTCTTACATGCATTCTTTAACTTGTATTTTTTGTAGTAGTTGCTCTTTTGAAATGGGTGTTAGAACAATCTGTTCTAGAAACCTACCTCAGAAGAATATTAGAATTATCCCAGTCAGTATTTAATAGTTGTGACTGACCTCTAAATATAGATAAGTAAATCTATTTAATAATTTGACAGTAATATAATTGTGAAATATGGTAAATATAACTTCTCTTGGCTAAAGGTAACTTCTTTATATAATTTTCATTTACTGGCTAAGGATATTAAGTAGTTTATTTATTGGTATCCATCATTTGCCTGCAAAGTTGGATAGTCCCTTTAAATTATATCCAGCCATTTCTAATTACAGAGGCTACACAGCAGGTGATGACTGAAGTCGGGTACAAAATACTGTGGAGTTGTTGTGTAGTATAACATGTTGGCTATACAGCACATTATATCTGTTGTAAATCTGGATTAATTTCCATGTGCAGGTAGCTACTTCATTTTGGTAAGAAAAATCATTAATGTTTTTAGTCTAAAGTATTTGAATCAAATGTGAATTCTAATTAATAGGAGCAGAATATTAAAATGCTCAAAGTGAAGGGGAAAGACTGGATTTATCACAATAGTAATGGTTTGAGTATCTGCTCTCAAAATCAAATTACATGTATTAACTTTATTCATGGCAGTTAACAAAGATTAAATTAGAATAATCACACTAATGTACATATACCAGCTACACAGTTCAAAGGATATGATTTCCTGTGTCAAATGATTGCTCATAATAATAATAATAAAACTCTTGCTGTACAGTTTGTAATATTTCCTGTATTTGAGAATATTTATACATAATATAACATACAAAAATATTTAAATGTTGTGGCAGTATTTTTACCATCCAAACTTAATTTACAGGGAATAAAAACCAGAAAGTTTATCTACAGTCCACCTAAACCATCAGTTCTAAAAGACTGAATGTAACTACTTTTAGTACCAAGAGGTGTTCTGAGTGTTATGTCATTTCAGTTCCTTTTTTTTCTTCAGCTTTTTTTTTTCCTGGAATAATTCTTAAAAATACAATATACAAGCCCTCACATCTTAGCAATAAATGTACAGTATCTTACATTCCTCATTTCTGCAAAGATAATTCCAGATAATACATCATAGCTTTATGTGATCTTTAGAACAAGAAAGCAAACCAAGAGAAGAATTATTTCAGTGGAATGTGTTGGGGTTAGGTCTTATCATCATAACAACTTTCTTTAGTGAATATGATCCCCCCCGGAATTCAGCCCAGTAAACACCATCCTGATACCGACTGCGGTAGTGTCCTCCACGATACCAAACTCCATTGAGATTTGAATGAGCACATGCATTGTACCACCATCCTCCCTTCTGGTAATGAGCACAATTACCTGCAAATGAAAGCTCTGATTCAGTCTTAGGAGCAAATGAAAGATCTTACAGCAAGCAAGCTAAGCAGAAAACAATTTTTTTTTTTTTTTTTAAACTGTGTGTTTAACATGGTATTTACATGTGGTACAAGGTGAATTTAGGCTTCTTCAGGAACCAGCTGTGTAGTTAGGTTCTACAGATAGACTCACTAGTGTTAATCTCCCTTGCTGGAAAATTTGTTTGCGTTACTGTCTTAAACAACCCCCTGTAGCATATTTTACAGACCCTTGATTAGTGTAAATGATAAATATTTCAGTGAGAATTTTTTGTTCAGTGTTAATACGTATTGGGGGCCCCAGTACAGGAGAGACATTGAGCTGTTGGAGCAAGTCCAGAGGAGGGCCACGAAGCTGATCAGAGGGCTGGAGCACCTCTGCTATGAGGACAGGCTGAGAGAGTTGGGATTGTTCAGCCTGGAGAAAAGGCGGCTCCAGGGAGATCTAATTGTGGCTTACCAGTACCTTGAAGGGGCTACAGGAAAGATGGTGAGGGACTGTTTATCAGGGAGTGTAGTGACAGGACAAGGGGTAATGGGTTCACGCTGAAGGAGGGTCGATTTAGATTAGATGTTAGAAATTCTTTACTGTTAGAGTGGTGAGGTACTGGAACAGGTTGCCTAGAGAGGTTGTGGATGCCCCATCCCTGGAAGTGTTTCAGACCAGGCTGGATGAGGCTTTGGGCAACGTGGTCTAGTGGAGGGTATCCCTGCCCGCAGCAGGGGGGTTGGAACTAGATGATCTTTGAGGTCCCTTCCAACCCAAACCATTCTATGATTCTATATAAGGGTTTACACATCAATATGTGCTTCGTAAGTTACTAACTGGCAAATCACTAAAAATGTAATTTCTCTTTTTTGTGTGTATGTATCACTGTAAGTATTTTTTTCTTTTAAAAAAAGGGAAAAAATAAAGAGGGGAAGGGCAAAAAAGCAAGGCAACTGAAAGGGAATTGGTACCTGTGTATACATCATGGTCCCGGTCCAGCGTGGTGAACTGTTTGCCATTGTGCCAAGTGAAAGAATCTCCTGCGTTGCCATTGTAGCGTCCCAGTCTCAACTTGTAATACTCACTTTCTGGTTCCAGTCTGAAGCTAGCGTACTCAGCAAATACTTTTCGACCTGACCAGTCTTCCATTGTTATGAGCAGTTTGTAGTTGCCTTGATTTGTTAACCAATAAATATTTTCTAATCCAAGCCAATATTCTCCATCTATATTACCAAATCCTTGCTGTAAAGGAAGCAAGATAAGCATGTTAATATTGTGCATCTGTTTTAGTGCTAAATCTGAGTGTATTATGAAGTAGAAAACCACAGTAACTTATTTTATAGACACTTTCTCTTCTGGAGGGGTAAATACACAAGTTCCTTTTCAAGGAAGCTGTCGGCCAGACTCTAAAATCACCTCTTAAATTAACTTTACCAATAGTTTATAGAGGGTAGAAACCATTAGACTGCTCACTTGTCCTAACCTTGTATGTCTCCCAGTTCCTGAAAAAGTTGACAGACCCATCCAGCCGCCTCTGAATGACTGTCCAGCCACCAGGGTCGTGCCGTTGATCACACCAGACCTGCATAAGCCGGTTTGTGTTTTCTGGTTTTACAAGATAGATGGAGCTTGTATCGTGGCCGTCTTCTAATGCTTGTAGGCAGTCTCTCCAGGGCCCTGTGTCAAAACAGAAGGACTCTGCATCAAAATGCAATTGAGAATATCTTTAATGCAGGGCGGTATTTGAATTGGTAGTGCTTTTACAGTAGATTTGCTTCTGCTGAGTAGTGTGTTTTTCCTCTTATTGAAGGTAGAGTGTCCACTAAGTGTTTTCAAACAGATGCATATGTTGTAACTTTATTTCTGGAACATTTCATGGTGAATGACAGATAAAGGTAGATATTTATTTATTTATTTATTTATTTTTAAGGCAACTGCACTTGTAGCATTGATTATATCTTTAAAGAAACTTAATATGAATGACTCCGTACATAAGGATTAATATTAATAATTTCCTTTAGAAAACAAAATGGTAAGTTTTGCTTTGTTTCTGTCTTTGAGAAATTCAGCTTTTTAGATCCCCAAAAATGTCATTGGCACAGACATTAACAATGAACTGGCAACATAAATTAAGAATGTAGGTGTTACTGTGGTCACCTTAATAAGTGATAACACAAAATAGAAATTAAAACTTGTAACATGGAATGCCCACTTACATAGTGAGAGAAATTGTAGATAAATGAGAATACTTTTAAAATATTTTGCATTCACAGAAATTACAAATAATGCTCTCCTGTTTTCAGAAGGAGAATGCATTTTTTTTTTCCTTGAGTTTAGTAGAGTCCATGAAGAGCTTAGTCTTTTGGAAAGTATTTTACATTCATGATTTTTAAAGACACTTTCTCCAGTGGGAAGATAGTTAGATTCCATTTTAAAGAGTCTGAGAAATTTAGATATAACTTATTTGGGACACTGTGTTGATACCTGCAGACAGACTCCCCGAGCTGCTTTGCTGCTATCCTCATATAGCCTAAGTAGAGAAGTGAAGTCAACCAGAATCCTCAGGATTACAGACCCTTGATTCATCCCTCCCCCTGAAGGAGGAAGGCTTGTCAGATCTTTTCATCAGGAGAAGCATATGTTACCATCAAGAGTAATTTCTCTTGTAAAGTATTTCAGTTCATCTACCCTTTTTCATAATTCACTGTCCAACACTGGTAATGGTAGAACTACGCTTGTACTCAGTAAATGACTTAGTAATAAATTAGTATTATAGAAGCAACCTCAGTGTTTTGGGGGGTTGGGGTTTTTTGGTCTTTTTAACTAGTTAATCAAAAATTCAGCGTGCCAGGAGGCAATCCAAGTTTTTGGTGTGTGGCCATGCTGGGGTGTTGTTTCCTTAGTCATGTTCACAGACTGTACCTAGAGTGCTGCTTCTAAGTCTCTTCTCCGTTTCTGTTGTGGCTAAATGTTCAGATTCTGGCAATTTAGATCCAGATGCAGTATTCTGTGACACAGTTGCATGGCTTATGAGAAGTGGAAGAAGACAAATGTAATGAATGCTGGTAATTTAAATTGTCTTGTTTATTTTATCCCGATGCGTACATAGTGGCACTTGTCAAAAACAAAACAAAAAAGTTCAAAGTCATTATTGAGGCAACTCCTAAAATAGTCAACCACAGATCTTTCATCTTGCCTTCACATAAAGAAATATATAGCAGTATATGATGTAATATTTACATCTTTCTAATCTTGCAGTTCCTTCCTAGGCCATGTGGCAACAGTGCTCTACTGCACGTGATTCTTTTCTCTGAAAGTGCTTTAAGATGAAGGTAAACTATTATGAATACTTCAAAGCAAAGTTTGCTACCACTTTTCCATGCCAGGTGTTTTTAAGTCAGATAATAACTTCCCAAAATTTTGATCAAGGTGTGTAGTCTGAGATTTGTCATCTGGCATCAGAAACAAAAGGGAACGTACTGAAGGCAACTGGCCCCAGCACAGATCTCCGTAACATGGTTAGCCCTGCCTAATGAAAAAAATAATTATTAAAAGAGATTTTTATAGTTTATTTATGTGAGGCTTTCTTTGTACTTTGTAGCAGCTTAACTTAAACACCTTTAGTAAGAAACCTGTTCAGTGCTTTCTGGAAATATGTATGTCAACTGTATGTTGACCAGAGCTCCATCTGCATAGGCACTGAGCCCTTCAAATTATCTCTAAAAGTGACAGAAAATTGGTATTACAAAACGCAAGTTGATTCTTATTCAAGGTGATTGGATGATGATACGTGATTCAGATTTGTTTACTGTTTGTTCTACTGTTTTTAGCATTATTTTCTATCAATTAGTGGAAATTATTTTTTTCAATGTCAAATTTGCCACCTTTCATTCCTCACATATTAAGGCAAGTTTTGGTGAGGGATTCCACAGTAGTTAACTGCTTCATATTCAGTTTCCTTTAGAACTCTTGGGGAATGTGGTTTACTCTTTGCAGTTTTAGTATTCACTTCTTTCATTGGCTTTATAACCTCTTCTACCAACATTTCAGTTTGAGATAAGTCCCGCAGAGTATCCTCCTTGCCACTAACCTAGTCAACTCAGGAACCTCAAAGTGTCCCCTCAGTGAATACTCATATCAAAACTAATTTAGATTTTCTACTGTCGCCTTAATTTCTCTGAGTATATCTTTTTATCTTTCCCTGTAAACTGTCAGGCTTCCTGCTCCTGATACGTTAGAAATCAGATTTATTATGCCTTTTTTCCCATTTGCAAGTTGTTCTTAAGATTTTAATAGGTCTTTATATTTAACCTGACAGAGAGTATGTTCTTTTCTTATTTCCTCATTTGGACATGACTTCAGTGCTTTGAACAATGTTGTCTTTCTTACAGTATTGCTCTTTTACCAAGCTACTTAACCATGACAAGATTTCCTCGTCTTCTCAAAGTCATCTTTTTGGATGGACGGATAGTTCCCTATTTCCAATAGAGTACCTTTAAATAGTCTCTGTGGTACTTGAAAACATTTTACCTCTTCAGTTAATGCTTTTAGTTTATGCATTGGTGTTAAAATATTCTGCTATTCTGTCCTTTGTGTCTCTAAGTTTCTGACAGGCTAATATATGAAATCTAGCTAAAACCCCAACTTTCTAGTTCTTGTATGTTCTTTTTGTTTGAGTTTTTTGGTGGTTTTTTTTAAGTAGTGATATTTGTTTAGAAGTATATAGATGTTTGGTTTGGCCTCACATATATATTGGCCTAATATTTGTGTGCCCTGTTTCAACAATCTGTTTTTCAGATTACATTTCAGCATTTCTTACCTGAATTTTGTTCACTGCTCCTATCCAAAGATTTTACTCGATGGTACAAAATCTGCATTGCTTCACCTAAAGGATATATCAGTTTAAACCATCTGCTTCATTAAGTCATAATTATCAGTATGAATATATAGTCTGTTGTACTTAGGTTATTATGTATGTTTATTTTTGTATACTAATGCCTTTTTTGAAAAAGTGCGTGACCATATAAAATTAGCATACACTGCCTGTTAATATTGCATTAACCTTAGCATTATTACTTGCTGTTTATTATTTAACTATTTAACTTTACTTTTTATAATGCAGCACAGGGTTAAAATGTTTGTCTCCAAGTTTTATCTGGTAGAGTATAATAAACTGGTTTGTGTACGTGGTTTTTTTAGGAATAATGTCTTCTATAGCAATTGCACAAGAAAACATACATTTTATAATTGGTATAAGTGGCTACTAAATGTTTTGTTCCCAGAAAAAGATTTGTTGATCTGCTGGGTAGGGATGATGAATGAAATTCATTTGATTTTCAAGTTCAGCTTTCATTTGTCTGGGGTCTAGTCATCTTCCAGTGTTGCACTAGCAAATTTATACAAAGGAAAATATTTTGATAAGCTATTCAGCTAAGTCTGTTTTATACAGAAAATGTAGTAATGCTTCACGTAATAGTGTTTGTCCTGTTGTGTGTTGAATTCTGCACTCTAATAAATTGTTGTTTCAGATCTACTTGAATTATTGACCCTGTGGGCTAAACTTTTTGGTGGTGTAAACAAAACCCCATTGTAAAACCACATAGGCTTTTTGCATTGGCGTATTAAAGCTTGTAGTTGTTAAGCATTAATGCATGCAAAGTTGTTGGGGTTTGGTGTGTCGTAGCCCTACGTCCCCCCTCAAGCCTGTAGGCAATAACTCCAAGAAGGAGTTGTTGTTAATGTCACAGCTAAACCGTTTCATCCTGAAGTCTTTTATTAGGCTTTTAGCCCTTTCAAGCAAGTCTAAGGAGCAGGGTTCCTAAATAGGACTATAGAAGTTTTATTTGGAATTCATATTTTGCTTAGTAGAGTGGGGTAAAATACAATTGTAGTTATTTTGAACATTCTCTGGTGTTGACATTAGGTGACTTACTGGCTATTTACTAATTTTTTACTTTTTATTTTTCTGTAGAATTTCAGTGTTGTGTACATGTTCAGTATTTTGCAGACAGAATTAAACTTACCCAACTTATTCTTTTGGGCATGCGTGGGAAACAAGAATGCACAAATAAGAATTTGAAGTAAAGGATTTACTTATAAAATTGCAAATTTTTCTGCTCAAAATCAAAACTTTTTTTTTAACATTTTCCTTTATTTTTGCAAAGAGCCAGCAACAGGAACATTGGGGCGTTTTTTATGCCTCATAACACTTTTTGGGAAAGGCATGGATCAAAACATGACACTAGTCCTTCCAGAGAAATTAACTTGTCTATTATAAAGTGTCTATCTCTAAAATTACTTTATATCCAATGATGATGCCCATATTTTACAATGTATTTTTTCAATTTCTTTTCTCTAGAACATTTTACTATGAGACTGGGGTTCTTTAATTTATCTACATCATGTTTTTATGATTTACTGCCAATGTTGTTGTTATGCAGTCATCAGCTTTTATGTCTCTGTTGAAATATCCAATGCTTCAAATATTCCTAATAAATGTTTAGCAAGATGTTACTCTTCTGTGCCTTGCCTCTCAAATCTGGCACATTATTTTTTGTTATTTGGCTAGTTATTTTGGCTTACCTTTGTGAATATGGAGAAAATACTCAGTTGTACATTTAAATCATACTACGCAGTAAATCTATAATAGGTTGGGAAGGACACTTTAAACATGACAGAGAAATACTTCTAAATGACTGTCTTATTTTAGATCATAGTCATAGTAATGTTTTGTTCTGAAGGACCTCCCTCTGAGTGCAGGCGTGTGGGTCTTATATCCTAGTACTGTATAAAGTCATTACAGAAAGGGTTGCTACTCTGAAGATTTTCAATTATAAGTAACTTATGAAGTAGGTTGTTTCAAAAGTATGTTGAAAAATGATGAGCACTTTATGATAAGTGATGTGTGTAGAACTCTGTAAGTTGGTTAAATTCATTTCTGTGGCAGTTCTTACACTCTCCAGTTCAGATTTCTGGTTTCTGACTGAGGTAAACGTGACTGTGCCAGTCATATTATTGATTGGCCAGCAACAACAGATACTGCCCTTTATTGAAAAAAAAATAAATAAATAAAAAAAATTGGGCAGCAATTATGTAAACTTCCTCTATACTATATGTGCTGCTGTTAGGAGAAAAGAACAGTTCTTTTGCTAGATCTGTCTGGTAATTAGCGTTTTTATTAATATAAAATGTAAATCTTCCTTCTGAAGTATTAGCATGCTTTACAAACAAGGGTCATCTTATCTTCCCTTGAAAAAGTGAGAGCAGGTCACCTCTTTCAGATAGGTAGTTTTGATAAAATCACCTCTAGGGAGTCAAGCAGACCTTTAAGGAGTTGGTCATGAGTCCATAGTCATGAATCAATGTTTTCCTTTGCAAAAAAGTATGCTATATGAGGATAGATCAAGAAAAGTGCTATGGACATGAAGTAACTTTTCTATTCTGCTGTGTGATGGTGAAGCCTCAGCTCCAGTTTGGGTACCTAAAAGCACAAGGAGGATGTGGACCCATTAATGTGTAACAGGAAGGGGAAAGGTCTTGAAAGAACGCTCGAAAGATATTTCACTTAGAGAAAGATCGGGAAATATTGTTCTAAGCTTGAACCGACTTTGAGGTCAAAGTCAAAATGTAATTATTAGAGAGGCCATCCTGTAGTGTATTGCTCCAAAGAAGTTGTAACAGACCTGATTTCCTCCTGACTTTTTTTTTTTTTTTCTTTGAACCTTAGAATCTTTTTTTTTTTTTTTTGGCTGAGGTTCTATATGCCACAGTGCAAGCTTTGGTGAGTTCATCTCTGGCAATATTGTGAAATAACTGCTTTGTAGCAAAGTATGTTAGAGACTGTGCTTTAGCCTGAAACACCTGCTCAAGTTTCTTTCATTATGGATGTTTCCATGGAGAAATAAGTCTTATTTTTCTTTTTGTTGTTTTTGTGGGTTTTTTTAAAATGTGTCAGTTGCATTATTTGATAATTCTAAAGAGTTTGAGGATTTCATTTGGAATATGTTGTAAATATTTTTTAAAATATGTGGGACCATAGGCAAAACTGGATTCTTTAGCTGTTACTATTTTATCATGTAGATCAATTGATCTCTAATGGGATTTCACATGCCTATAATCTTGCTTATGGCAGAACTCCTAAGACTCTTAATGAGGGCTGCATAATATCCTTTACTATTCTACTACTTGCATCCCTTTGCTCCTGTCTTAGAGCACAAGTGCCCTATGTGAGGTATAGAGCAGATTCCAGATTTTGATAACAAAAGTTATCACATGCTGGATCAACAAACTTGTAATACCTTCATAAATGTTTACCCAAAAAGTGTCAAACCCTTTTAGATATCTTGAGTTATAGCAGTTCAGTCTTGGGCACAGGTAAATAAAATTTAGATGATTAACTGTTGTTTAGTTTCTGCAGCACCTTTATCTCATAAATGGTGGGTTTGTCTTGGCAAAGTAACATGAGAAAAATCTGTGGAGCTAGTGTTCTGGTAGACATTCAGAATTCTTTTTTTTTTTCTTTCTTTCTTTCTGTGCTTGTACTACAGTACATATATTAAAAAAACACAAGATAGATACACAGACAATGTCAGATCTAAGAAATCTCAATTAGTTCAAAATAATTAATTTGCATTTATTTTGCTAAATAAATCAATTCTGTCTGCATTGTTTGTATTACAATTAAAATGTTGCACACTGCATATTAGCATAAACTAATGTAGACATTTCAATAATACTACTTACCGGATGGTTTATCAGTTGAAGTTGGAATACTAGTAACTGCAGGCATGGTTGGTAAGGTAGGTGGCAGAACCTTTAAGTTCTGATCACTCTGAATCTCATTAGTAGATATCTGGTTAATAATGCGATTGTAAGTAGGAGGCTGGTACACTTTATTTGGTGGCTGTGGAGTTTGTGGCAGTGGCTTTACGGATGGCATTCTTTGACAGTGTTCTTCCAGTTGGGCAATTATTATTGACTGATTATTGGCAATTGACATCAAATGTTGGTACTTGTGCTCTAAGTCTTTGTATTTGTTTGCAAGCTGCAACATATCTGCAGTTTGGTTCAAAATCTTATTCTCAAGTTGAGAAAGCTCTAAGGCGTTGTCACGTTTTCGGATAATTTCATGTAGCAACTGCATATAGAGTTGTGTGACACGAGAATTCATATTTCTGCTCTCTTTTCTTAAGAGCTTAACCTCATTAACAATCCCACCATCCACCTCTACCAGTTGCTGGAGAGTTTCTATTTGTCTCTTTTGTTTAAGAAGTTCATTGTTAAGTAACTGTAATTCTTGTTTATTTACCCTGTTTTCAAGTAGAACTTCAGGCTCCTTAGAATTAACACAAATGGCACCTGTCACTCTCTGCTGAGGTACAATAAAGGTGTAAGTGCATTTGTCCTGTGTGTCACTGGACCGCTTATATCTGTTCATATAAATGAATTCTTGTTCTGTTTCCTCATCATTGCCTTCAAATTCCTGCGTTTTGCTTGCAGTAGCTCCCACAACAGCTATTAGCATTAAACAGATGAATCTTGTTGTCATCATGATCCTCTAGTTCTGGTCAAATATTCTTCTGCAAAGAACTTTTAGAAATCTGTTTTAAAATAAATTTAACAGTAAGTAACAAATAGGAAATCAATGCAAACTTACAACTGATAATCTGCTCTAAAACTTTCAAAATACTACATAGTAACTAGTATGTCTGTGTACAGATGAGATTTTTCTTGTCCAGCATGAATTTATGTTGGCTAAAGGGGTCATCATGGGGACTAGATGTATCGTTCTGTGGCCAGAACTGTGGTTACTAGTTGCTAGTTTGTCTAAAGCCTGCCAAGAAGCACAAGAAACTAAGTAATAAATACCAGGATTTGAAGAGTCCTTTCTTCCAGGCAACTACCACAAAAGTTTCAGAGATTGGTGTTTTCATTTAAATATGAATTATATTTTCATTTCTTACAGTCAGAAATATACCCTTTAAATGTAAACAGAATGTAAGTTAATGCATGCTGTTAAAAGTTCTAAAAATATCGAATAGCTCATTTGCAGTATTTTATAGCTGCATGTATTTTGCAGGAGATACAGCTTAGATGAAATGTAACAATTTTACTTTAGTTCACAGTATTGAACCTCATAGTTTTTAAAAAAAAAAAAAAAGGAAAAAACTTAGTCCTTAATAATTATAAATTAAAAACTCTACTGCCCAAATATCATAGGCAGTAAAATCTGTTGTTTTTTTCCAGACTAGTAAAATTTACAACTAAAATGCTTATTGGACTCTCACTGGAGACCTTGTCTTTACGCTCAGGGTGGGCATTTCCCTTCCTAGTCCCTTCTTAGAAGGGGAAAACCATGTGCACATGTGCACGGTGGACAGAGATGATGTCCAGCCACTAAAATTCTGTACTAGTGTTTGCTGACATACTGCAACGGTACCCTTTTGGAGAAATTGCTCTAACTTAGATCTCAGAGCAGATTCGTATTCAAGGTGGAAATTTGAGGCCATCACAATCTCTTAAAAAAAAAAGTCAATACTAGAACTTTATGGGCAACAGTCGTCTTGGAAACATAAGCTTAGCGTTGTCACTGCTGCCAGGA